TTCTACCACAGGAACCAGGTCACCTGATGACTCTACAATATCATCATCATCATCATTCAATCTAGTCACAGACGAATGTCTATTTACCCCGCTGCCCTCAGAGGAAGAACGGAGTGGCGCTGCCCCTCCACAATCAACTGGCACAGAACTCGTCACCACCAAATCATCTGAAGTGGTGTCAAGGGCAGACGAAGACAACGATCCTCCTTCACCTACAACGTTGGAGACGTCAGCAACAGCAGTTGCTGCTACGTCTGGAGGTGATGACGATGACATCGGCTGCAGACCGGCCTCATCAGTGCCAGATGGTGGAGATGAATTCATGGTCTCCTGCCTAGCGCCGCTGACAGCTGCCGGACGCTCTGGAGTTACTGGTGCTTGCTGACGGATTCCTTCGGTACCCGCAGCAGCAGCTGTAGCAGCTTGCTGCTGCTGGTTTCGCAAGAGAAGCTGTTGCAACTGGGCCTGCTGCAGAATCACTGGCAACTCGTAATGGTGGAAAAAGTAGATCATCGAATGCTGGAACATCATTTACACACACACACCCGGTCACGTGAAAGGCGCGCACACACACACACACATTTGACAGGGCTCGTAAACAAGAAGAGAGGTGAGCTGCCCCTGTGCTTAGAACCGTGCCAGGCAGACTTATGGCGCATTCCTAGCCTTCGCACTAGACGGCGCGAGCTGCTCTCTAACCACAATACCCATTCCTTATAGGAGGCTTGGCGACTAACAAGAACAAGACTCGTCGAAGTAGTGAAGAGAAAATTTGATGCCTGTACTGGGAAATGAAGCCCAATAATCTGCTTCAAAACTAGTCGTTATATTGACTGAACTTTCCGGGATCATTTTTAATAGAAATAGCAGTTCGTAATAACTGTGTTTTTGAAACAGGTAAATAAATTAGCCAGTCTGTTACCTTAACGATACAGTGAATTAAAAAGTATGCAAGATTTAACTAGAAAACCGTGATCCTCGTTAAAAACTGCTGAATACGAATTAATGTTACCAAAAAGTAAGAAGTTTCTCAGTTAGAAAATACCTTAATTATGAACAGTTATTCAGTTAAGAGACAGACTACACAAATTTACTGGCCAGGATTTGATTCATAGTAAGTTTGTTGCAATTTTAGTTTTTCTACCATGCCCTTAAAGGTCATGCGGCTTCCAATTTCATGGGTGGTGTGTACTTTTCCATACAGACAGAGATGGCTGGAACATGAACCTTACTATTCATCTTGGCGCTTCACTCACATCTCGCCTGCACGCCAGTCTTAGCACAGATCGACAACTCCAAAAACAGCTGTTATGCACGTCAACGTAGGTCTTATGGGTTGTAACGCCTTGTGGACCTGCATACAGATATCAAGCTCTGGAGAAACATACAGCCCTCCCCTTCGATAATTTTCCTCCGCAAAGTGGGTATTTACCTACAAGCCCACCCGGTGTTGCAACCCTGAAGACTGACGTTGACATCTTCACTGTAACAATCTCAAATCACACAAGTATCATGCATGATCGTCCACACATATTGCAGCCCTCAATAAGGATACTAGAGAGTTCTCTGTACACTGCCAGGATGGCAAAGTAAAGAATACTCAGAAAAAGACAGCAGAGGGGCCATCTTTATCTGAACTTATCGGCTGCACATGGCAGTCATATGAAAGCAGCTGTACATAAAAAGTAGAACGTCTCAGATGCTTGAGTGAGAAAACGTAAAGACACTTCAACATTTACGTGAGAACACCAATCACCAAAACATACACTGCATGAAGCCCCTTTAAGCGCACACAGAGATCAGCATGAAATATAAACAAGCAAAACTACGTAAATCCACAACCAAAACTGCACTAGTTAATTTTTCAAAGGCCACATTAATTTTAACTATTACAATAAAATGCACTCTTGCCATGATATCTTTTATTATTATTATTATTCAGTGTTCTGTCTGACGACAGGTCCATTGCTCTGCCCAAAAAGAGCTCTCCAGTTTTCCCTATTCTCAGCTTCTCGTTTTAATTCCTGAAACTTCATCTTCTTTCCTTGTTTCAGCATATCTTACGACAATTTAAAGGTCTGAAACATAATTTTTTGTATTTACTGCAACTGAGGGAAAATTTTCGAACTTAAGGTTCACTACTCTGGGTCTTCAATTTTTAAAAAAAAAACTAAGGGGGGAAATTACAATTACGAGATGTTTAAATATCAAAGTTCACCCACCCAAATTAAAGAACCTGAAAAATATGAAACCTAACCACATAACCTATATGTCGGAGACGTGGAAAAATATGAACTTTCCACGCCATGAAATTGACTGACCTTGTGAGACACGTTCAGCCGGGGCCCGCCACGACCCTGCATGGCTGGTGTTTACTGGATTTAATCAATAAAAATTAGCTTCTGGGTCCCATAAAAGATAATGCAAAGTTGCCCCTCTGGCGTTTAATTAGCCACCACACCATGCAGATACAGAGGGGGAGAGCAGGTGTAGCTTCAAGCATTCTTAGCCTCGACACTAGTGAGTGGTTAGCCCAACACTGCAGCTGCTTTACCCAGAGGAAAACCTCCACCCACTGGACTGTGGGGCGGGGAGGGGGGCCCAGAACGAACCTGAGCATTGTGGAGAAGACGAAAATCGTGCCCTGCCAGGAACTGAATGCTGGTGAACCATCCCACGGCCTAGTCACTATTCTAAACCATCTCCTTTGCGTCCCATAAAGGGCAAGTTATATTTTGACCAGCTAAGCAAGTGTCAGTTTCTCAAGAAGGACTTTACTCCATGGAGTCAGTTACTAAGAGATGGCACCATCGTATGAAATATCTGGTTTCTGGTTGGCACCTTGGACAAAGATGCCTTTCGTGAAAGTGTTCGTCGGTTTTTATTCAATCAACTACTTACACCTGTATAAATGTTGAGGTTCAACAACACCAATACTCAAGCCCACCACTGAACGTAATCACAAGCCAGTGCCTCCCACCTACAACTTACTTCCCTAAAATCTATCTTCTTTTTCTTCTTCTTCAAAGTGGTTGCTAGCCACGAGGTTTCCCGGTCTTGTGTCCCCATCCTAACAACATGTGCATCGCCCGCAGAACTGCACTTGTGGCGGTACATTCTAAACCCCTGAGGAATCACATGGGAATCGCGGATAAATATCTCTGAGTACATGACTATGTTTTGGTCATGAATGTACATTATTTTTGCTTCGTTCAGAATGATGGCAGCCAGAGGCCATGCTGTGCTATGCAGATGATGAAAGGCGTGTAGAGAGCAAGGTACCACACGGTTGACTTAACAATATGCTAATCCTGGATTGTGTTTTCACATCGTTAAGTCTTGCTTCTCTCAGTAGATAATCACTCCATATCACAAGTTCTGCATTTGCATAATGTTTGCAGCCATTAAATCCTTATTAAAAAAAATGAATGTAATACAATAACATGCAGAACGTATTTACATGAAATTTAACAACTTTCATTCCTAGGGTTAGTATGTGACAAGGATATATACATCGTAATAATACTAGAATCATACATGCTTTTATAAATATACTTCAATACGGGATAACCATAAAATGCAAATGGAGAAGTCAATCAGCATTTTTTAAGGTGTAAGTTCACAACATATAAAAATAAACATGTCCATGCAGTACAGCGGTAAACCATTGAAGTTCACACTTTTATTACATTAATTATCATAGCACAGGAGATACAAGAATTATATATACAAGGAATGCAATGCAAGGGACACACCAGTGATAAGCAGTAAGCATTAAGGAGCGCCTGAGAAAAAGCGCGGAACACGGAGTGACTTAAACGTGCCAAACGGAGGAAGCACATTAATTTATGTGTCTACAACATATGTACGAATGTGTGTTCACACAATTAGAACAGAGGAGACATAAGAATTACACTATTTAAACAACAACTCCGTAGTTGCAAGACAAAGACCAGCTATGCTGACCGGCACTTTTCCTAGTCTCCAGTCCCTCCATGCAAATGCTTGGGGGTAGTATCCTAAATCATGCCACGACCACTTCTTTCAAATTCATTATTCAGTAATCATCCTACCACTGACACTACAGAGTCTGAGCTAATGACAGTGTCGTTAAATAAAATAACAAATAAACAAACAGTGCAGGACCTTCCTTGAGAAGCTAACAGTTGCTCACAACGAATTAAAAATCTCCAGATACATGTTGTTATTATTATTATTATTATTATTATTGACGGTCAGTTCGGATACAAATATTTTACTGGAAACCTTTAATGTAACATCCCCAGTACAGAATTTAATCGAAATTGTGCGGCAGTTTTGGGCATGACACCGGAGGTCATATGGGGGACACAAATACAACGTATTTATCAAATGTTTATTCTATTTATTTTATGTCAAGAACACGCACGAAGTTTGGTTCATGGATTCTTTACCAACACTCGAACGACGACGCGAAAGATATGGTAAAGGCGTCAAGACCTATTTTAAGGAGCCACTTCAGCATCTGACTGGGCGGACTGAGAACAACCACGAAGAAACAGGCAGGATAATGTCTCCAGGCCGAGAATCGAACTGGAGATTTAAAATATATTAAACAAAAGTACCAACCATTAAACAGATCGGATATTCTGTGTTATGTTAATTAAAGATGATTTATATTAAAATCTTATAAAATCGTAGGAGTGCAATGTTGCCTGTTTGCAAGCGCCGTGAATCTGCATACAGCGAGGGAAACGGGTGTGGGAAGGGTTAAGTTTCGTCTACCAGCCTAAAACTGTCTACTCGATCGATCCAAGTCAAATGTTGAATGCTCGGCAGCATGGTGTACCGGGTGTTCCAGAAATTATTGTAACTCATCAAAATATAAATATTTACTTATCCACGGAGTTCCAACGACACCTCATGGCATCAAATAGAGGCATTTAATGTATCGTGTCGTATCAAAGCGTACACATTTTAATTACCAAGTTTGTAAATGCATCAAAAGCCAAATGATGTCACGTCCAGAGGTACCTAGGGTGAGATTGACTTAGTATGAAATTAATGTTATCAACAGCTTTGTCGGTAGTCGAGAGAGACGGAGAGAGGCTGAGGCAAAGGACGTGGCTACCGAAACAAGAAGCCAATTAAAACCCTTCCAGCGAGCGTACTGCATTTCAGAGCGACGGGTGGATGAATCAGTTTGATGAGTTTCGATGAATGTGGAAGGAAACGTGGCAGAACTATTTAAAGTCCCAGCCACGTCCCTACAGAGTAAGGACCTCGATGCGGATAGCCGTTATCCGGACACAGAATCCAACCTGGGACTTCCAGGAAATAAAACGAGTGCCAACTACTACACCACGTTGTTCGATCCTTGGCAAAAGGTTTCCAGTCTTTCTGCGTTACTACATCTAACCACTGAAAACTCGTTTCGATGTGCTTAGGTGAGATAAAGTTGTTTCCCCTGTTTCTAAGCACCATCCTGATGGACACATTTCTTCCACGCCCAAATAATAAGTAAAATTTATGTGACGATG